GTGTGAGTGTGTGTGTGTGTGTGTGTGAGTGCGTGTGTGCGTGTGTGTGTGCGTGCGTGTGTGTGTGTGTGAGTGTGGGAGCGTGTGTGTGAGTGAGTGTGTGTGTGTGAGAGAGAGAGAGAGAGAGTGTGTGTGTTTGTGTGTTTGTGTGTGAGAGAGAGAGAGAGAGAGAGAGAGAGTGTGTGTGTGTGTTTGTGCGTGTGTGTGAGAGAGAAAGTGAGTGCGTGTGTGTGCATGTTTGTGCGTGAGTGTGTGTGTGTGTGTGTGTGTGAGTGTGGGAGCGTGTGTGTGAGTGAGTGTGTGTGTGTGAGAGAGAGAGAGAGTGTGTGTGTGTGTTTCGTGTTTGCTGCCGTTTTCTGCCTGAATCAGAAGTCGATTACACTCACATCAACGCGTTTCTTTACTCTTCTGCAGGCTGAATGGGTTCACGGCGTGGTATTCAAGGCTCGCTCGGGTTACTGTAGCTGCAGCGCAGGTTCGTCTTCAGAGACCCAAGCCTCGAGCATCTGATCGGTTATCAATCGCTCATCAGATGATCAGAGGGAAACATCGCGCTAAAAATGACTCCAAAGATCCCCCGTGTTGTTGTTATTATTATTGGGATTTATTTAAAGCTGGAACGGTTTAAAAACGTGCAGAATTTATCTCTTGTTTAAAACCAGTTTTTAAATCTCATCCGTTTTTAGATTGCTCATAAATTTCAAGTCACCGTTATTTATACAGCGCTTTTTACATGCAGATTGTGTCAAAGCAGCTTTACAGCCGTTCTCCTCAAAGATCTGCTTCTCAGCCATCACGCAGCAGCAAGAGGGAAATAAATACTGAATAACTTCAGTAATGTGCATATTCTCTCGTCACAGAAACAGCACTTTATTTCTATCAAGTGTGCATCATCCGAATTTAAATGTTCTTTAGTGCAATGTTCAGCGCCTTAAAACGCAAACTGAAAACAGTCGATGTCAGAGGAAAACACACTTGATCAGACTGGCATGAATCTGGTCAGAAGCGCTCGCTCGCTCGCCAGAGGACGCCGTTACACCGCGAGCATCTCAGCACGCGCTCTCCTGCAGCTGAACTCCTCTGAAACCAGCCCTCGGACACGAACTGATAATCACACACAAAAGCACAATGCAAAGGCTTTGGCGTCATTCAGAGTCAAATCAACCAAAATTCAAAAACTTCCCCGGCTCAAATTTTTGATTTTGCTGATTTTTTCCTGAAGAAAGACAGATGTGAAAGCCAAAATATTAAATGTCATAGATTAATATTTACTGAGTAATCCACTATTTTGTACAGGGGAACCAAACCATACAGGGCCTTAAAAATGAAGATGCCAAAAGGAAAGTTCATTAAGACCCAATATCTAAAAGTGCATTAAATGCATGCAAACTTTGGAGAGAAAATAAATAAATAAAAACCTTAAAGTGCCATTTCTCCATTTTTGAATGGTCTTCATTGGCACATAATGCAACAAAGATAGCTAGTCAGCAGATTTGACTAACAGAGCTATCAGTCTCTGTGTCATGTTACATCCCCTTTTTAATCGAGGGGTGATGGGGGAGTAACATACACTATTAAAGAGGAACGAAAACGTATCAGTAAACGCAAAAACCGAGTGAGAGGGAGTTGGCTCTATCTGCAATCCCAGCACTCACACAAGATTTTATTTACAAATAGTTCTTCATCCAGACTACCTGCCAGAAGGGAATCTAGTTAACCTCCAAGAAAATAGATACAAATAAACAACAGAAATATTACGTGACTTCCTAACTAGCAAAAACTGGAGAAAATGAGGACAAAAGAAAGTGGCACCCCACTCCCTACTGCTGCAGCACTCAAAACAAACCGGCATACGACTCGAAGCGGTGCACTGCAGCCAGAACACATGTAGGCTTGGTTTTAAATTGAAGCTTAACACAAAGCTGCGCACTACAGCCATGACACCAATAGTACGCTTAAGACACAGCAACACACTCGTGCTCTTGGGAGAAGCAAGCTCTCACTGGCTCATGCTCTTGTTCTTCTTAAATACTGCTCCTCTTGATATTCACAAGGAGCAGCTGCTAGATCCAATCACCTAGATTAGGACAGAACACAAAATAAAACAGAAAACTACAACTCCCAGCAGGCCATGGGGTCCACTGGCAGCACATCATGAATGACATGCACTATGATAATAAAATACAAATTCATACCTCTAGAAATAACATTATGATGCTGCCATCTTTCTGAAGTCATTTGAGTCACTTGAATTGAGTGTGAGGGAGTGTGTGTGAGTGAGTGTGTGTGTGTGTGTGTGTGTGCTTGAGTGAGTGACTGAGTGTGTGTGTGTGTGTGTGAGAGAGAGAGAGAGAGAGAGAGAGAGAGAGAGAGAGAGAGAGAGAGAGAGAGAGAGAGAGAGAGAGAGAGAGAGAGAGAGAGAGAGAGAGAGAGAGAGAGAGAGAGAGAGAGAGAGAGAGAGAGAGAGAGAGAGAGAGAGAGAGAGAGAGAGAGAGAGAGAGAGAGAGAGAGAGAGAGAGAGAGAGAGAGAGAGAGAGAGAGAGAGAGAGAGAGAGAGAGAGAGAGAGAGAGAGAGAGAGAGAGAGAGAGAGAGAGAGAGAGAGAGAGAGAGAGAGAGAGAGAGAGAGAGAGAGAGAGTGTGTGTGTGTGTGTGTGTGCGTGTGTGTGTGTGAGTGCGTGTGTATGCATGTTTGTGCGTGAGTGTGAGTGTGTGTGTGTGTGAGTGTGGGAGCGTGTGTGTGTGTGTGTGTGTGTGTGTGTGTGTGTGTGTGGTGTGAGAGAGAGTGCGTGTGTGAGTGCGTGCGTGTGTGCGTGCGTGTGAGTGTGAGTGTGTGTGTGAGTGCGAGTATGTGTGTGTGTGTGTGAGTGAGTGAGCGTTTGTGTGTGAGTGGGAGTGTGTGTGTGAGAGAGAGAGTGTGTGTGTGTGTGCATGTTTGTGCGTGTGTGTGAGTGCGTGTGTGTGCGTGTGTGTGTGTGAGTGCGTGAGCGTTTGTGTGTGAGTGGGAGTGTGTGTGTGAGAGAGAGAGTGTGTGTGTGTGTGCATGTTTGTGCGCGTGTGTGAGAGAGAGAGAGTGAGTGCGTGTGTGTGCATGTTTGTGCGTGCGTGTGAGTGCGTGTGTGTGTGTGAGTGCGTGTGTGTGCATGTTTGTGCGTGTGTGCGTGTGAGTGCGTGTGTGTGCGTGAGTGTGAGTGTGTGTGTGTGTGTGGGAGTGTGTGTGTGTGTGTGTGAGAGAGAGAGAGAGAGAGTGTGTGGGTGTGTTTGTGCGTGTGTGTGAGAGAGAAAGTGAGTGCGTGTGTGTGCATGTTTGTGCGTGCGTGTGTGTGTATGTGAGTGAGTGTGTGTGCGTGTGTGTGTGCATGTTTGTGCGTGAGTGTGAGTGTGTGTGTGTGTGAGTGTGAGTGTGTGCATGTTTGTGCGTGCGTGTGAGTGTGTGTGTGTGTGTGTGTGTGTGTGAGAGAGAGAGAGAGTGTGTGTGTGTGTTTGTGCGTGTGTGTGAGAGAGAAAGTGAGTGCGTGTGTGTGCATGTTTGTGCGTGAGTGTGTGTGTGTGTGTGTGTGTGAGTGAAAGCTAAACTGGCTGCTGTTTTTATAGGAGTAAGAAATTCTGCCAGTATGGAATACAGGTTATAAAACAGTCACTGTTAGTGTTTTACCTGTGCTTTACCTCAGGTTCTGCATGACATAAAAACATCAGGACTCGATTCAGATGCTGAGTAATCCTTCTCGTAGCTCGGAGCAGCACAACATGAAACAACACAGACTCACTCACCATTAGTCTAGCCTTTAACCAAGCCGCCGATGAGAGTCACGTACTGCATGTTCCAGAAACAATCACCTGAACCGTGAATCATGTGACCGCTCATGCTGCAGATGTCATTAGATATTTAATTGATCTTATTATACTTCTGGCCATTGCATGCAAATTTACAAAGAAAAACAATTTCTCTTTTCCTTTCAAATTCCTTAACCTGTTGTTCATGTAATGGATGAAAAATGCTGAATTAAAATATTTTAACATACTCTTGGTATTTATTTTTGTATGCACATGCAATGTATTGAAATCAGCACATACCCTGCTCAAATGCAGTGTTTCTGGTTATCACTGTAAAATTGTTTTGCTTGTTTTCTGACAAAACTCTAGAATGTCAGCTAATGTGGTGACATTGCTCCGCCTACTGGTGTCTCATTTATATGCATACTTTTCCTGTCAAACTACCTCCTTTGATTATTTTACAATAACTGGTTTGTTATTATTCTGTCCCCATCAAAGTGCACTGATCACTCACCGGCTCATCATAACTTTCTCTGGTTGTTCATCCTGTAACTTGCTCTTTATGTGCTGGTTATTTAGGCTGCGCATTCTGCTAGCCTTCTGTTCACATTTTTCTCTTCAGCTGTAATTCCCGAGTGCCAGTGAACTTGGGAAGAGAACAGGTCATTTGTTCCATCTTCTCAGGAAACAGGACAAGGTTGCCAATGTTCCAGGCATTGTTTCCAGATCTGCATGCTCAGTCAAACCTGGAGCTCTCAGGACAATGCTTGCCATGAAAATAAAGCCAAATCTCTGTGTGAAGGACGGCTGATTCATATCTCTCTCATGACAGTCTGTTCTGTAACTGATTTAACGAGTCGCTCCACACGCAGACACAGACGAATGTGAATCCACTGCCAAACCGAGCCGAGAAGGAGCTCATGTTTGTCTCCAGGTGCTTCACTGCTGCACACATCATCTCAGACTGTTTTCATAAGAACTTTGGAAAGAAAAACACTCATAATTTACCGTAAAAATAGTAGTTCTAATAATAGTTCTTTCTTCTTCTTTTGCTTGCTTACTGTGTGAAATTTGCTAGCAATTTCTAAGTGAAAATTGTTTCTAGACCAATTTTGTCTCAGTGTACAAAAATCACACCGACTCGTTTGTATTTTATTAATAAAATATTTTACTATTTCATTACTGAAAGTTACTTAATATATGACAGAAACGCTGTGATTAAAGGCTGAGTTGGTGAAGAGACGCAGAAGAATTGTCAGAGTGGTGATGTATGTGATATATTGATATATTGTGACAGGACTAAATGAAGAAGCTGCCTCATGCGTGTAACTGAGTGCCGAGAAGAAAATCATACTAATATCTCACTTACATGTTGCGGTCAATGAGCCAAACATGCAGCCATGTAAACAGGCCACTGCTTTATTACTGAACGGATTGAGATGAATGACGGGCATTTTGCTAATTTCCTGTGGAATGTTTTTCCCTCACTAGTGGAATGCATGGAAACACACACACACACATACACACTCTCTTTCTCTCTCACACACACATACATACACACACACACTCTCTCTCTTTCTCTCTCTCACACACACACACACACACACACACACTCTCTCTCTCTCTCACACACACATACATACA